TACGTGTGATTGGCCATCGTGCGTATACCATTGGAACTGCTGAGTTCCTGCCGCTTCTCATCGAGAAAACTACAACGATTTGATCGAATCATCGTCTTGGTATTTCTTCAAAAGCCGTCGCACATCCAGAAAGAGCGTTTTGAAATGCGGCTAGTTTTTCTGTCTTTAATTCTTGATTAAATATGATACACCTGCCTAATTTCGAACTTTGCTTTGCTAGACGTGATGTGAATTTTTATCACACTTAAGTGTTGCTGGGCATTACAAATTATTAGTATTAGAATTCAAGTTGACCAAATATGGGTGCGAGCAGAATTTAAGCTATACAGTTTAGTACACAACGCTTTGCTTGGTGGAATTGAGCTACATGAGCGAAAGCATTTTTTAAGGCCTAACTGTGTTTTGCACAAGTACACATTTCTAAGAACGAGGTGACGTCTAAACCTTGGGCTACCAACTGCGCTAGTCTATAAATGCAATCGGGTTTTCAAGCGCTGAAATGTTACGGTGTTTTAGCGTCTCAAGCTCCTGCTGGTGAAGTAGCCACAAATAAAGTGCCATTATTTCGCTGACGTACGTGATTTCATGGATACCCTTGCACATCCGCTCGAAGGTCGGCAGTCCCTCGCAATACAGATTCACGTTTGTGCCAACGTGACCCAATGTTGTCCGACCAACAGCTGCGCGCTGACTGATCACATGGCCCAGCTCCACCATCACAATCCAAATATCGCGCGTTCCAACGGCAATGCCGATCTGAGTGATGAGATCAGGAATTTCCTCGTCCGAGACGTTAGTTACATTTGGATACTTGGCTAGAAGATCTTGAGATGAGGTAAGAAGGGCCGATTTGCACGTGTCGTTGGCTCCATTCGCGTATTCGCTACCATCGAGAACGGCTCGGAGTTTTCCCTGCATACATCATTTGGAGCTGTAGCTCAGTTGGGGTCCGCGGCCAAGAGTGAGACCTCTATTACCATGGTCAGTAGCTGACACCATCGCAGAATTAGTACCACAGCCACGGCTTCATCGAAGGCAATGATCACTTTTGCCGTAGAACCGGGGCCATTTGAGTGACCGGCATGATCAACGCGCGAGCCTTCAATTATGATAAAGTAACCGTTCTTGCTTTTTCTGGCGAAGGAGACTCAGAACGATGTCAACCATTTTTGGAAGACTGAAAAGCCGAGCCGTAGAATTGCTTGTAGAAAGTTCACGAAGTCGATCAACTTCTTACATCATATGGTCGTCTTGGAATAGACCAAATAGGCGAAGAGCACCCGTGGCAGCGTTAGCCGACTGATAGTCGAGTAAATCTTGGTAATGGTACGAAAGTGACTATCCGTTCGACCCCAAATCCTTTAACATTGATTCGTTAAAGTAGCTTTACCATCACCAAGCAAGAAATCCAAGTTCTTGTTTGTGACATACTGAGCTGCAATGTCGGCCTCAGAATCCCGATCAAGAACGTAAGCCGCGAACGAAGCTGGTGTTGCATGCGTCACACGGCAGATCACGATCATACCAGTTACCATGCCTCGAATTTTGGCAGCTTCCAAGAGTATGCCCAGAGGTTGCTCAAAAGTATCTACAGCGGTCACCTGATTGTATATTTTAACTCCCGTCGAGAAAGCTGTTGCTGACGAAGCTGAATCCGTGATGATACTTTGTTGACGAGTGGGTTTGCACTGTCCCCATGAGGTGGGGGTCGATATGGAGGCGTGTTTTCAACGTCGGATCTAACACTAACCGGGCAAGTGTGAAGACGTTGGGGCCAGTTCCGTCAGGAATCATTATAACGACGCTGCGTGTCATGTCCTCACTTCGCCGATTCTAAAATCTTCGACATCGGTTGTTGCGTACTCGTAGCGGGTAGCGGCGCTTGTCAGTGTCACAATGGCGGCACTTGCGACCAACGCTTGATTCAACATGTTTGTCAGATTGGATTGCTGCATGTACACGAGATCAGGTGAAATGCACGATAGTGAAGGATGGTAGGGTAGAATCAACAAACTTGCTCCTGCATCTCCGTGGTCGCTTTAAAGCGTGTCGAGGATTCCAATTCCAACGGATCATTAATTCGGTCGGAAAGAGCAGCTGTTTCAATGACATAAGTAATCATGCCGGCTAAATACTGAGCGTTGCATAGCTCATCAATTGTATAAAAGTATCAGGGTGGCTCTCGATTTTTTTGTGCTTGCGTTTTTGTTTGAATACCTTTTGGTAATCTGGACAACGCAACGCAGAAGAAAGAAGATTGTGGTTTTCTTACTTAGGATGTGAAAGATGTTGGCCAGAACGACATTTACGTCTTAATCGCGTCGTCCGAGCGAGCGGGTGATATTTCTTCTCTCAAACGCCTTGATGACCGTATCCTGCGACATGATATTTTTAACACATTAATTGATGCTATTCAGATTGTGAGGTAATCATGGTTAGGGGACAACGTTGTGCTTTGTGGGTTGTCGGAATCAATTAGAGAGCAAGTCATTGGTTATGAGTACGCGCTGGCAGCTTTTGTGATGAAAGATGTGACATGTGTCAAAATTAAAAGTAAAACCAGATTTTTGTACTTTAAAATCCTTTCTGATAGTAAAGCATACTTCAACTTACTTCGTGGCTTCTTATTTTTATCTTAGCTCTTGTGTGATTTCATACATGTCCGCACAAAGCAAATCAAGAGTGCCATTGCGAGATCATTCATGGATTTCTCTCTACAGCTTCGCAGCCATGCACAAAGTTTGGTATGATCAAGCGTTTTTGCGGGACATTATATCTTGTTTTGGTAAACGATGCATTTTGGCTTTACTTTTTCTGCAGTCGCTGAGATTAATCCAGCCTGCTTCGTCAATCTCGTATTATTTCGATACTTATTGAGTTGGCCGCATGGATACTAACGCTTTTGGGTGCAGCACCGTCTTAGACAAAACCCTGTTCAACCTCAGCAGCACCTTGTGAAAGTTTTCCGTTCCTCACTTTTTATGCAACTAGATCAAAATCAGTCCGTGACAAGCACGTAATCGCTGGCTTGAGTCTGCAGCTCTTGAGCTCTCGAAAACACAAATAGTTGTGTTTCATGCTATATTCTATACTACGAGCTGATTACTTACGGCGAAAAGCATTAATTGAAGGCAATCACAGCAAACTATGACCTTACGCTAAACAACAATCCAACTACGAGCTTTTTAACTGCAATAACTTTAATATACGCTAATTGGATATAGTATGGGTTGACGCAAACGCCTAATTTCGGACTTTGATTAATGTCATTTTTTATTTCTATTTACTGTTGCTTGCCAAAATTCGACCTTAATATATTTATTTTTCCCGAGCAAATCAAATCTTGAGCATTAAGAATTATAAGTATTATAGTTTTTAGTTGACCAAATAAAAACTGGCTATAGTACTCAATGCCAGCTGGTAGTGTTAGTATGCAACATAGCACCATATCAGCAGCTGTTGATAGTCACCGTTGTCGCATTTGGAGAACGGCTTGCCTCCAAAATTGGGAAATTGAGAAAGAAACTCGCCGTCTTCATTGAAATATCGAAAAGAAACTACTTGCAAGAAGTGTTGAGCACCGTACGACACTTCTTCCATACAATCCACACGAAATGAGAAGAGACCGATGGGTGAACTATCAGCAGACTTAGTCCTGCTTATGCGCAATAGTCGCTGCTGCTCACGATTCACAATAAGCGAATTCAAAGCTTGTGGGTACCATATCCTATTTTTTTCTTCAATTTCTTGCAACACAACAGGGTGTTGATATTCATCGTTGTCGTAATTGTCATATAATTTTCCTCCAAAATCGGGAAATTGCGAAACACATTTGCCGTCTTTATTGGACCATCGAAAAGAAACTACTTGTAAGAACTGTTGAGCACCGTGCGACACTTCTTCCATATAATCCACACGAAATGAGGTGAGACCGATGGAAGTCTGTCAGCAGACTTAGTCCTGCTTTTGCGCAAGAGTCGAAGTTGCTCACGATTGACATTGAGCGAGTATAACGCTTTGTTGGTACCACCTCCTGATTTTTCTTCATTTCCTTGCAACGCGACAAGCTGTTGACATCCAACGTTGTTCTATCTGGAATATAATATTCTTCATATTGGGAAAGTGCCGAACATAATAAAGAAACAACTTGCAGGGATTCTTGAACATCGGTCGACACTTCCTTCATATAATCCACACGAAATGAGGAGAGACCGATGAAAGAACTATCAGCTGACTTAGTCCTGCTTTTTCGCAATAGTCGATGTTGCTCACGATCCATATTGAGCGAATATAACGCTTGTTGGTAACACCTCGTGTTCTTTTCTTCATTTTCTTGCAACGCTACAAGGTCCTGATCTTCACCGTTGTCGCATTTGGAGAATAGTTTTCATCCAAAATCGGGAAATTGCGAAACAAATCGAAGCCGAGGCTCTTCGGAAATTTTTTACTGTTGTTTTCATTCCGATAATTAAACCCAACAACGTCGTCCATTTCAAAATGAATTGAATTTTCTGAGTATTCGCAGACACTATCATTCACAAACCCATCTTCATATGATTCGTTCATGCCGAAATCGGGCACATTTGCGGAGGCACTTCGACGGCGATTTCGTGGAGAACTCACTTCGTTAACAATGTGCATTGTCATGGTTAGTGTTTGCGTTCTTTAGCCAAATGTCGACCGAATACGCTTTTGTTTCCAGGTCTTTCAACCTGAGGTTTAAAGCTCGGAAAATTTGAGAAAGCGAAGAAGTACCCAGTCTTTGCACACTTGTGCCCTTTCTTAAAGTCACCTTGAAGTGTCAAATTATGCGACGACTGCTAGTCTGTTCAGTTTCATCAAAATCGTCAATATGCAAGCGACTGTGAGTACTACAGAAAAATAAATTCTATACATCATTCGATTTTCGATTTCTGCCACAGGCCATAGTAACCAACATTCACGGCTAGGTAGCCAGTAGTTATGCATGTATTTAAATTTTACTATATATATTTAGTATATTTAGGAAAATCTAAACTTTTAAAATTAGGATGAAAAAGTAAATAAAAATAAGTTTT